CTACTTATATTCTACGAAGCAAACATACTGCAGTGTGATGTTCTAACTGGGACTCACTGCACAAACACTTCCTGTAATCCTGCTAAAGCCAAGCAGGTGTGCAGGTTGGGCTGCATTCTAATTAAAGAACTAATAAAAAGCTGAATGAAAATTTAATCAGCCAGAGAGCAGTAGAGGGAAACTGTGGTTAAACACAAAGGAGGAATTAAAGCAGCAATTTATTATAATTTTTTTTAGATCAAAGGATCAAACTGTTCTTTTTGGAAGGATGTCAACAGCAAAAACAGGGTTATTTATTATAGGTAGTGTTCAGTTTATGAGGCTGTCTACATTAATACTATTACCTCTCATTACTTACACTAAGTTCCTCTTTCTTGTTGTTTAACAAGAGCATTTAACACCTTCTTGCACTTACTTCCAATGATCATTTGTTAAAGTGGAATGCTTGTATCTAAATTACTGTGATGAATGAATTATACTGCAGGGTGGTCCCAATGTGTGTATTCTGAGGAATGTGGAGCTGCAGCAGTGTGGCTCTGAGGTCACACACCAGTAAAACGAGCAGAGGGGGGAGGAGGACTCAGCCAGTTCCCGTAGTGTAGTGGTTATCACGTTCGCCTAACACGCGAAAGGTCCTCGGTTCGAAACCGGGCGGGAACAGCTTTTTGCCTTTAGATTCGGTGCGTTTGTTGGTTTCAGTTTCTTCTGGCAGTAATAAGAGCTCACTAGCAGCTTGTTGAAACAATATGGGTGCAAAACAGCGTGACTTATCAGCTTTGTTCTCTCTCTGCAGATCGGGACACAGTGTACAACATCGCTAACAGCTGTCTTGGTTATAATATTTCCACCTGCTTTCTGCATGACTGACACAGATCCCAGCCAGGAATCTGAATAGATAAGGAAATCATCCGCAGATTTTCTGAAATCTCTACATGTGGGCTGCACCATGTGGCAGCTGCTCGTTTCCTACTGAACAATCTGAAAGGGGAACATTGAAAGTAATATGTGAGGACAAGTTTAGTGGGCCATGTGCTCAGATGTAAATAAGTGACTGGGGAAAACTGTAACCAGACAAGCCTCGCTTCTGCTGCTCAAGCAGAACAACGATCTCCTAAATAACAGAGGAGCACATGGTTGAAATAAAGCTAACGAACATATTAAACACAGATCATCAGACAACTAAAACACTGGAAATCTGTTCACACAGCTAAAGGGTTTCTTTGCTTGTTTTAGCCATAACTTTGCTCAGGTCATTCAACATAATTAGCTACCTCCTACCTTACAGATAACATTAAATGATGTTTAAATGATGGTTAAGTATTTGGAGCAGTGTTGTTAGATCTGAAAAAGCCTTTGATACAGTGAATCATGAGATGCTCCTATATAAACTCAACAAATTCAACTTCTCCCAGATAGCTATTAATTGGTTTATTTAATAATCTAAAAGGTAGAGAACAGTGTGTCAAGTCAATGGAAAGAAATCAAGCTTTCAAGATTGTTTAATGGGAGTTCCACAGGGTTCCATTTTAGGACAGTTGCTTTTTTGTCTATACATTAATGACTTCCTGGACAGCTGTAAGTATGTCAGATGTATGCAGATGATGCCATCATATATGTATCTGCAAAGACTCCTCAACAGGCATCAGAGCTATTTAACAAAGAGATGGTTTGAGTGTCTCAGTCTCTTAATGTTTGACTCTGAACTACAACATAACAGTCTCAACGTGTTTTTTAATTAAAGTAAAATTAATGTCTGTAAAAAGTCTCCATTGCAATTAATCAGAGTAACCCAAAAAGTGGATGAGTTTAAATATCTGGGTGTTGTTTTGGATTCCCATCTTAACTTTGAGGCTCACATGAGGAAAGTGTCTAGAACTATCAAGACTAACATCAACTGCTTTCGTCTAATAAGACCATGTTTGTCTGCAAAAGCTGCCCAGCTGTATCTGCGTGCCATGATTCTGTCTCATCTCTCATACTGTGTCACTGCTTGGAGCCCAGCAACTAAATCTGCTTTAAAACCTATGAAAGTCTTAGACTAAAAAACTGTGAAGAGGCATCACTGTAAAATACTGGAAAAATACAATTTCTAGTTTCTCTTTTTTAAAGTTGACTTTTAAATGCATCAATGGCCTTGTCCCAGAGATAGTGAGCAGAATGATTCTAAGAGCCCGCAGCACAGGAGTTGGAACAAGAGGAGTAGTTAATGGAGATTTCAAACCACAAAAATACAAAACATCATTCGGTCAATCTTTTTTCTCATTTAGAGGTCCTCAGATTTGAAGTCAGCAATAAAAATGTTAACAGATTTTAGAGTGGATTGAGTAGTTTTGTTATGCTGTATTTAAAAAAACAAAGAGGTCCAACCAAGGACTGGTTTTGCAAATTAGCCTGTGGCTAGAAAACCTTTGTACAGAACAACGGTTGCATTGTTTTATCACGTAACATTGTCTTATGTGCTGTCCTTGATTTAAAAAAAAAAGTCTTTGTCTCAGTCATATATTTATTCAAGGCTTCAAAGAGGTCTCTGACCCCATGGTCATGTTATCGTAAAGGATAAAATATTAGAGTTTTGAGTTTTATCACCTTTTTGACATCCTTGAGTGAAAACGTCACTTTTAACTTTCCTAAAAATGGACATTTGTCTACATTAACAAAAAAGGAGAAATATGTAAATATTTGCAGGTTTTATGCTTTTGAAGATATAAATGTACAGTAAACCAGTTAAAAGGAAGGGTTCATAATATATTTCATGTTATACGTCTTAACTGCCTTATAAACCTGATTAGTTACATAGTTTAATTTAACAAATAATCACTTTCAGACATTAATTTAGTAAAATGTTTGCTCATTCAGCCTTATTTTTTCCTTTTCCAAGGGACCATACCTTGCCAAGCCTTTGCTCTGTTGCTTACTCTCCACTTCCTGCTGGTTCCTTGACTGTCAAACTGTCACTCAGGATAACACCTCTTGCTGCCCGGAAACATCCATCACCAAGTCATTTTCACCAAAGCAGTTTCTTGCCCTGCAAACATGTTTCTGACATTTAAGCATCACTCCAGAGATTAAAAAAAAAATAAAAATTACATTTTCCTTTGTTTTTGAAAAAAAAACAAAACCCTGTGCATCTGTGCTTTCTGCGATTCATTTTAAAAGAGCAGTAACACGTACGCTACAGTAGGAGGCGATCATGTCAATATTGACAAAGAATGAGAATCTGAGCTGGCTAAAGCAGTGCTAGGCTGAATATTCTCTTAAACGGTAGCTTGTGTTTACTTTGACACTGTTAACTCTGTTCTAATAGTCATTATTCCTTTAGCTTATGAGGCGAAAGACAGAGATGGAAAAAATCTTATTTGGTTTCTACCTCAGAAAGCCATGTACGAAATGCGCCTTTGTACCATTGAATGTAATTATTTCTGGATATCCAATCCACACAGATAAGCCACAGACAAAGTCTTTACTTTTGTAAGCATTTCTAGAAATCTGTTTTTTCTTTTTTAAAACTCTGCTTTGAAGAAGAAAAATATTTAATTAGCTCATAAAGTCGCCTAAATATTCAGTTAAACGGATAGTTTTTTCCCCCAGTTTAAAAAAAAAACCTTTTAAAAATATTAACATTGCTACTGTGCTAATAGGTGGTGATGTTCATAGCATTAAAATTTAAAAAACAAATCGGAAGCATGACTAAGGCAGTACAAGGCTAAAATTTCCAAAGATTCTCCCCAAACAGCTGTAGCTCAAATTTTCTCTGACACTGTTAAACCTTTTCTTTCAGTCATAAAACTTTGAGCTCACATTTAAAGCTTAAAGTGCAAAAGGATTCTAGATAAATCAAGACAGTGAATTTAAAAAAAAAAAAAAAAGCTATGACTAACCAATCTACAGATATACAATACTTAAAAAGTCGGTTTTTGTTACCAAAAAAGGTGCAAAGAAAATGCAGCAGAAAATAACTACATTAATGTGTTTCTGTTTCAGTATTCAGCATACATTAAAACTAAGTCTGTGTTCTTCATGCATGCCTGCCGGGTAAAAATAAGTCATTTCCATGAATGCCAAGGGAAGGCCAATGGGTTAAGTTCCTCTCTTTAAGTATTTTTTAATAAAAAGAAGCCCGGTTGGAGGATCCAGGTCTCAGAAGGGTCACTGAGTGCAGGCACTGTCTGTAATGGATCCTCTTTGTTTTTACAACCCTGTTTGCGTACATTCATATTTAATCATGTTTCTGTCAAATTAGCTGAGAGTAATGGGGAGCAAATCTATGAAAAGAATTATTTTCTTTGAGTTTCCTTCAGTGAGCTGCAGGAGGTATTATCAGTGAGCCCAGCTCCCTTTCTGGCAGCAGCCGTCTACAGACCTAGTTGTGGTGATTACCCATCCTTTGACTCAAACGCCAACCCTGCTGGGAAAACAGCCTGGAGCAGTATCAGGAATGCATGAAGCGAGAACTAAATGGTGCCTTTCTAAGCTAATGAAATGCACTCAGAGAGAATGTTTAACGGTGTGCAGAGGTGTAATGACACTGCAGCATGCAGATGCTAAAACCAACAATAAAAAAGTACTTAGCTGTTTTGGCCTCATGCAGAGTACACAGACTTAAGTCACTTAAAACAACACCAGACTGCCCTCACTGAGTTCTCAGATGGGTTCATGGGACGTGAAGTTCAGACTAGGAGAATTTGCCGAGAAGCAGGCCAAGTGTCTGGGCCAATCTGGAGTTTTTGTTGGACCCCAGAGAGACCGCCGAGGGCAAGCACTGGAAGCACAGCAAAGATTGCATCATTCATTTCTAAAGCAGGACCTGTGACTGTGCTGCTGGGAAGCATTTTAACCCATGCATTACAATAGAAACTGATCTAAAGCAGGGGACACACAGAAAGCAGGTCGAAGGTGAAATGTGTTCACGATGTACATATAGTTTTAAGGCACATGTTGACTGTGGTGTTTTCAGCTTCTCTGTGAACGCTGTGTAGTGGACAGCTACTAGGTGTCACTCAGTTCCTGTAGTGTAGTGGTTATCACGTTCGCCTAACAGCCGCAGGCCAGCCGCACATAGGTGTAGAACACTGATTGTCAGTAAGACCGTGCCCGCTGTCTGACATGGGTTCGAATCCCAGTTATGGCAGGAATTGAAATGTAGTTTTTATACAATAAATATGTCTTATTTTTAGATAGACATTGAAAGAATATCATTAAATAAATACTTACTCTTTGATCCAATGTTTTGAAAGTTTTAGCATTGA